GCAGCTGCAAGGGTAGTAGGTCGAGCCGTCTAGGTCGAGTACTAGCTACGAAGGAATAAGACTACTTACTATTATACTCTAGCAGCCTCTTTATCTAGTTCTCGGCTAGCCTCTCGAAAGATAGTCGAGTAACCGTTACTAATAGGCTTTATTAGTAGAGATATATCCTATAGCTACTAGCTGGAAAGAGCTTCTATTAAGAAGTATTAGTTAGCTTCCTCGAGGATTTCTTCTTACTTAGCTAGCTATAAAGAGGCTAGAAGGTTCCTAGTAGAAAGGGCTCCTAGGTATACCGTATAGGTCTTCTTAATACGGTTAGTTATATAGCCCTTCGAGGGAGCTATCGAGGTCTCGAGCTTTAAAAGCTACTACTTAGGGGTCTCTTCTTCTTAAAGAGAGATTAGCTTCGCGGTACTAATAGATTCCGTTATCGCTATACGTATAGTAGTTAGTAGCTTCGTCTCGTAAAGATATTCCTTACGGTAACTCTCGTAGTTACCTAAGGTAGTAGAAAAAGCTCTCTACTATATAGAGGTTAGCTCGGAGAAGAGGGAAGCTCCCTCTATAAATTCCGTTGCCCTAGGACGAAGAGGGGGCTTAAGAGGGTCCTACTTATTAGAGAAGACTAAATTATAGATAGTTCTATCTATATAAGCCCGTAGCTCCTTTACCTACTTATTTTAATCTTAAGGTTCTATAAGAATCGTCCTATAGACTATAGGGATAGTAGAGGAATCGTTTTTCGATATTATTATAGAAAAGGGGGTAGAAAATTCGGTTAAAAGTCGGCTTTTCTATTAAGAGGGGTAAAGGAAGGGGCTATAAGGGATATAAGAAAGGTGCCTTTTATAGTAGCTAGAAGGTATAGGAATTCTATTCCTCCTAGGCTTATAACTCTCCTAAAGAGAGATATAAGCAGTATATATAAAATATATAAAGGTAAAATTAAAAGTAAGGGGTCGGATAGGTAGGGCAGAGATATTTAATTCTTATAGGGGTAGTAATTATAGTAAGGGAGTAATTATTATATTGCCTTAATTATCCTTCTTTCCTCTATCTAACGCTCCTCTTTATACCCGTTTAGTATCTCTATTAATAAAGAAGATCTTACTTAAAGAAGCTACTAATGTCCTCTTAACTACTAAGCTTTTTACTAGTTTTTCCCCTCTTTTCTAGCCGTTACCGGTATATCCGTCTTATCTCTTACTACCTCTATAGGAAGCTATCGCTACTTCTACTTCCCCTTATGCCCCTACCCTCCTCTCTGCACCTCTTTTTAGCTCCTTCTTCTAAACCGGTTTTTTAGCTTCCTAGGTCCCTCTTACTAAGGGATATCTCCGAGAACTACGAAATCAGGCTACGCTTCGCGATAATAATTAGGAGAGTATATTATAGCTACTTTATTTATAGTAGGAAAACACCGTTCCTTATATATTATTATAGTTATCTTAGGTAGGGGTCTTAGTTACTAGTCTTACTATTAATAATAATATAGATATAATTATAGCTTAAGGTACTTTTACTTAGTTCGAAGTATCTTTAAAAGCTACTATATCTTTATCTTTAGCTTTATAATTAAAAATCGGTATTTATAGCTTCCTTAAGACTATATTACTATTAAGGTTAATATAAGTTTAAAGTTAATACTATTTAGTAGTACTTTTTACTTACTTATACTACTTAGTTTACTTTTTAAGCTTTCTTAGTATATAGATTAGCTTTAAGAAAAAAGAAAAAAAATTTATTATAAGTTTATTAACGACTATATCTTTAAAAGGTTTACTAAGTAAAATATAATATTTATTATAAAATTAAGGTTAATAGTATAAAGGGAGCTATAAATAGCTTTGCTTTCTTATATTATAATTAATTAAATAATATAAAGGGATAATTATTAGGAAGCGGTTATTAGATATATATATTAATTATAGCGTACTAATCGGAGCGCGCGTTTTACTTTTACCTATATAGCGCAATAGTCTTCGCGATAATAATAGCTATAAACTTATACTAAGCTTATAACTATTACTAATTATTAGGTCTTTATATTAAAGAAAGAGAGTATAAATTACGCTATCTTACTTAAAAGGGGGAGTCTATAAGTATAACTATATATATATATAAAGTATAAGGGGTAATAGGTTTCCTTATTAATCTAGTAGCTTATTTAGATCTATAAAATATCTTCCTTAGTATCCCTTAGGTTAACTACTATATTCGGTGCCTTTAGATATAGCGATAGTATTATCTCCGCTTCTAGGGATAAAGGGCGCGCTTATTAGTATATATAAGTATAAGCTTAACTTTTAATAGCTATATATTAGTTTATAGCCTACTAAAACCCTTATTAAGTCTTTAAGACCTCGTCAAGTTATAATAGCTAGCTACCTAGGTTAATAAGTATAGGAATAATAAAGCTAATAAGACTAGTACTATTAATAAGGGAGGTTAGTAGATAAGTAGTATAAGAAGCTTAAAGTATAATTATATAAAAGCTATTAATAAAGCGGTGCCGCGCTAAGCTAAAGGAGGGGTATTATATAAAAGTTTCTAATTATTATAAGTTATAAGCTTAAGCTACTACTATTAATAAAAGAGGGATAAGGTAATTAATTAATGCTAGCTAAAGGAAAGGGGGGGAATGCCCCTTATATAACTAGCTAAAGGGGGAAAGGGGACATGTAAGCCGGATGTCGTACGGCTAGGCACGTGCCTAGGCACGTGACTTAGTAAACCACGGGGACATCCTTCCTTGTTACATTAAATTGGCCCCTCACAAAGAAAAGAAAGACTGCCCTCAGTCTCATCCGGCGGGCTGCGTGCGTGTGGCCGGGCCGTGGGCAGCGGAGGTTGTTGTGCTGCTTGGTCGGGCGGCGAGGATCGCGGCCGCCGTGGGCAGTAGGTTCCAATTGGGTCCCGGGGCCGTGGGTACGGGCGGAATAATCAGACGTGGCCATAGTTAGGTGCGGCAGTCAATTGACTGCTGCTGGTGCTGCGGCCGAGGATTCGGCGCTGCTGGTGGAAGATAAGTAAATAACTTCCCTTCTATAAGGCAGAACTTCTGCAAAGGCAGGAGTCGTCCGCGGCGGCAAGAGCGGCGGCGGGAAACGTCGACTACGGCGGGACGAGGCGGCGGTAGGAAAAGCCTCTTTTTGCTTATATAGCTTAATCTTTTCTCTCGAGAGAGCTAGGAATTACTACTACTTACTATAAATAAAAGAAAGATAAGGTAATTAATTAATGCTAGCTAACGGAAAGGGGGGAAATGCCCCTTATATAACTAGCTAAAGGGGGAAAGGGGATATATAAGCTAGATATTATATAGCTAGGTATATACTTAGGCACGTAACTTAGTAAACTATAGTAATATCCTTCCTTATTATATTAGCTATAGCCTAAGCTATATAGTTATATATAGAGGGCTAGATCTTATATATATATATATAGGCTAACTATATATAAGAGGGCTTTATATAGCTTATTAATATTATCCTATAACTAGTACTTATCTATACGCTTTTACTTACTTTATAATAATAGCTAAGGGTAGAAATCGGGGTATAAATAGCCTTACTTTTAACGAAGTTATTAATTAATAATATATACGATATATATACGTTAAAGAGTCTACTACGTAGGCGCAGGGAATATACGTATATAAATTTGGGGTATCGGCGCTACGCCTTAACAAGCCACCCTACCCCGCTTTTCTGCATGCTCTCTATCTAAACCTGCATGCCGGTTAACATAGGTGTAAGCGTCTTCCTTCTCGGCCTTTTTGCCCGTGTAATGCCGAGAAGGACAAGTCGTCGCGAGAAAAAACGCTGCCCAGGCTTGGAACCCCGCCTCGAGAAAGATCCTCCTTGTGTCACTCGCTGGTGCGGTACGCGCGAGTCTCAAGGCTTCGACAAATCCCTTGGGAGTGTTTCGCCGTGACCACTCTAATGTGAGCTGCTTCCTTAAGATGATCGTGGACTCGCGAAGTGTACGCTTCCCGTCTGTCTCTGACATTGATGTATGCTTTGAAGGATCTGCGGGATATTATTCTGCGAGTGGGGGAGGGGAGATTTTGAACTTTAGGCGTTGGAGCTCGCAGAAGGAGGGGTGAGATTCTCATTCGACCTCTCCACCTGGAGTCAGCAGACGCAGTTAAATGTCACATGCGTCCACAATCGGCACGTCACTTCTCAGAAAAAGCCCTAAGTTCATCTCTTTGTCACCGATGATTTCCGGTGCTAGCCGTCAGGATTTCGGTGGTGTGACTTGGCCGTTCATTGCGAGGTTATGAAGGTCAGTCTCACTTTGCAATTTCGTCATTAACGGGAATATTGCCTCCATACAAAGGCAACGCAGCCTTGGCCTGGTTCTCGCAGCGCACGCGTGATTGGAGTCTGCCACACCTCTTCTACCGTCTCGGACGACCAGCACTGGAGGCACATGCGGCTGCACCATGCATTATTACGCGTCTAATAAGGGTAGTCACGATTGGTTGGCTATCATGTCCCTTTGGAAGAAAGGGCCAAGCCAGGTAAGAACTGTTATTCAACAGGGGAGGACGTGGGCTTACCTCCCTACCATATATAGGGCATGCACAGGTCCTCCCGTCGTCTTCAAGTCTCAGGGCTCCATTGCATCTTGAGTTGATCAAAATTGTCTTGGGTCATTCACCAGCTCATGAGGAAATGTGCAAGTATCTCGACCAAAAGTACTATCATATGAAATGCAAGAAACCCGGACAGCATATGTATACGCATCGCAACTGGAAGGAATGCGACAAAGCAAAAAAACAGGGACACTTTTGCCCGAATGCGACGCCGGAGACAGACGCAACTGGTAACCCCATTCGCCTGGGATCTACAAGGCGCCCGGGTGATTGCCCGATATGCCCACCACCACTTCCAAATGCAAGTTCTCCTCCCTTATTTCGAACATATACTAACGTCGTCTGAGTAAATTAGAAGACCTGAGCCACCATATCACGGGCAAGGCGGCTGTCAGCGTCAGGAGGGCGACTGGAATAGCCAGTTGATTTTTCCTTGCGCGCAAGATGGACGCAACTCGCACTGGACAGAATTAGCTGAGTAAATATAAGTGTATATGGCGTTAAATCACCCTGTCCTTTTATATCCTGAGACAGCTCATGCACAGTCTCGTACTCTTGCCGCCAGCATTTCGCAATAACGTTCCCGAGTGGAAGAGATTCGAGGTCTGGCAAAAGCCCATCTCTGAAAGATTCTTGAATCGCCATTTCTTCTAACCCTTCAAAGGGCCGCTTGCCTTCAACAATCTCATAGAAAGTAGAGCCAAGAGCAAACAGCTCACTCTTGGGCGATGGGTCCATCATGTCGGGGTGAGAATGGCTTGTCTCGTACCAGCTCAAACATTGAGCTCCGTCGAGAGATGACCCGGCAAAGTCGCCAACCATGGCGTTGAGATTTTGGTCGAGAAAGATGTTATTGCAAGAAATGTCACAATGAAACACATTGTTTGTATGGAGAAAGGCAATGGCGTCTGCGGCCTGTTCTGCCCAGCGAAGTTTGGTCGTGAGAGGTATACGCCGGCATCGCGATTGTTGGCCTTGACCTAGGTAATGTCTGATCGAGCCGTGCTCTGCGAATTGGAGAACCACACATTGCTCGTCCAAGATGCCATAGAAGCGCAATATTCCTGGATGCCAGGCAGCGGACCCGAGACGTTTGTAAACAGCGATCTCCCTGGCTCTCGCGCTCTTCTCGGTCGAGCTGTAACATTTGGCCACAGCGTTCAGCCGATGTACCCACGACGAAAGACCGGCGCCGACCGTCTCGTTGTGTCGTATATGATGTGGCACTTCTATTTTGGACTCGGAGTACGCCATGTTGTTGCGCGAATTGCTATGCGACTGCGGAAGCAGGGCTCACTACGCAATGTCAGCCACCTCGGAAGCACTGATGAATAGCTTCGGCTTGGCTCACCTGCTCGCCCAGATCAAAGGACAGATGAGTAACCTGGAAGGGGTGTTGCATATGTTCGTAAAGAATAGGCACATAAAGGCGAGGTCCCGCCTGCGCACCGGGGGATCTAGTGAAAGTCAGGGCCAAGACACGTGTCAGACCGGTGGTTCTGGGGCTCGGCCGAATGAGGCAAGAAGTAGCGAAAAAGGGGCAGCGGCAGCAGTCAATTGAAGCTATCCATACGGCTGTGTGTGTGTGCAAGAGGTGTGTCCGCCTCCGCCCTTGTGCCCCGCTGCGCGCTCCCTAAAAAGGGGCTCCCTGTTGGATCCACCTGTGCACTAGGCACCGATCGCGCACGTATAACTAATCGACCGCGCTAGTCACGTGCGAGTAAGAGGTGAGACACAGGGAGGAAGGTCTTTGCACACAGTTTGTATGGGACACGTTTCCCTAGTTACACAAGATATAACCAATTGAACCAGTTCGAATAACCTCACTGCAGTGAAGAGCCTGTCCACACTGATCAGTGTCGCCCGGCAAAGGTGACACAGAACAGCAAGACGGAAGAGAGCTAACCTATCGTCACGCTCTGCAAAGCGAGCTCCCTGACGGTAGGATAGTTGCTACAACGCGCGGATTGCTACGAAGACTCTGCATCAGAGCCCACTCTAGTTATCCAACCGTGCCTAAGCTTTGCTGTCATCAGCGACCCTTAGGCGTGCCTATCGCACATTGATAACCTCATTGACACCCTGTGCCCTGTTTCTCAGCACAGCCTGTCAATATGTCTGACAATTCATCTGCCGCACTAGCCCCGGCAACAGCCCAGGATACCCCGGCCAACGTGTCTCTCGAAGACAGGCAACTCGTTGAACGGAACCTGACGATCGTGGAGCTCCCTTCACTCCCGATCAGGCATTTCGACGCGGATTTCCTCAACGAACCTATCACCCAGAGCTCCTCCCTTGTCCACCGCAACAGCTTCTTCTTAGGCTGTGTGGCAACATACACGGTGGATAAACGTAACCACGGAATTGCCCTGCTTGGGGATCTGTATAACGACTTCACGGGATGGAGCTATGATGACTTCGAACTAATCAACCCACGCCTTAGATCAAGACTCCGGACGCTTCTCAGAATTAGGGGGATCTATATGGGCAAGGCCAACTCTAGCATCTCTCGAGCTTTATGTGGCCTTCTAACAAGTAACGAACTTCCTGAATGGGATGAGAACGAGTTGCTTGGTCAAGAGGTTGCTGAAAACACCGTGGCATATAAGGTGAAACAGAAGCTGCTCCAAGGAACTGTTAAAGCGGCTATATCGTCACCGGCACCGGTAGTAATCCAGCAGCCAACTATTACCCGACCGGCGGAACCGGAATCCCCTCAGATCATTGAGACCCATCAACCCGCTCAGCAAGAGCCTCAGCATCAATGGCGCGAATCCCCTCGGTATCAGCAGACGCTCCCCGTACGGACTACCAACTTCCGAGATGCATACACGAGCATTCCACCTGTTCGATTCGAGAACGAGGAAGTTGAGGCCGATCTCACGATTAGATTCATTAAGATATGGGACAAGAAACTAGCCTATACCGGCGAACCATACGATATCTTCGATGACAAGATCCGGAAATTCATGAGCGTGTGCCGTCAAGCAAACATTCCTCCGTCTAAATTCCATGGTGTTTTCCTTCGATTCTGGCCAAAGCTCAGTCCTTCTTTCTACACGAAATCAGCACTGATTTAACCTTCGCTGAGATGTATCAGAAGATGAAAGAGCACTTTGACACCGAAATCAACCAGAAGATGTATCATACCCACTGGAGCACCTCACCTTCAGCCGACTTCGGGCTGAGATGCCCGGTAAGTCATCTGACGAGGTCCTCCAGGCCCTTCTTACGAAATTGCGGCTCTGTAGGAGAGCACTCGGGGATAAGTCTGGCGGCGAAGGTGGCCTGATCGATGCAACGCTCAGGGCGTGCCGTGGTGTGCCTGAATTCCGACTCGCGATATACTCTCCCGCACCTACATTTGAGGGATTGGCATCACAGCTTCGATCATCGCTATCTGCCATGCAAGATGAACGATCTGAACAACCCAGTGGCCAATATCCCCAAGACCTGGATAGAGGACATGATCAGCACTTCGTGGATCGCAAATTTCAGCGAAATTCCGGCGGAACAAGAGGTCAATCACAAAGGCGTCAGCCAAATTGGAAGAAGAAATGCTACGTTTGCGGCAAGGAAGGTTGTTTCTCAACGAGACATCCTGAAAACGAGAGAAAGCAGCCAAAGAAAGTATCTACGAGAGAGCTACGGTCAATCTCGTTCGTATGCTATGTTCTTGGCTGACTATGAAGGGAATCACAGGATCAGGATGACTCGAGAACCGAGGAATCCGATGATTCTGACTCCTCTGACCCTTATGAATCGTTCTACGCTGCTGCGACCTTTCTGTCCAACGAAGCTTTCCATCATCGGATCTCTCCAGTAGGCATCAAGTTATTCAACAGTGACGAACCCACACAATTCATACTAGATCGTTACTCTCAAGACTCGTTCCAAGGAATCATGCCGGACACAGGTGCGGCATGCATATCGACGGGAGGAATCGAACAACTGCGTGCTCTCCAACGAGAGATGCCCCCAGTCCAATTCCGTGATGATCGCAAGCCCGAACCAGTTAGATTTGGTGCAGGAAGATTGGAAACACCACTTGGCGTGATCACCTTGAACACACCAGTGGGAGAGGTTGATTTTCATATAGTCAACGTGCCAACGCCATTCCTCCTATGCCTAGCTGATATGGATCGGCTCGGCGTATATTTAAATAACGTCACGAACGAGCTCGTTGGCAATGGTGTGAGCGTTCCAGTGATTCGAAGATGGGGTCACGCGTGGTTCTTCTTGCGGAAACAAGAGGCATCAGTGGCATATCTCACGGAGGCTGAATTGCGGCGCCTCCACGCGTTTTGGTCATCCATCCGTGTATCGGCTGCACAAGCTGCTGAATTCGGTTGGCAATGATGTGAAAACGAAGCTCTGGAAATGATCAAGAAGTTCTGCCACTACTGTCAGATGAAATCCGACCCGCCACGAAGGTTCAAGTTCAGCTTGAAGGATGATTGTGACTTCAATTACGAAGTCATCGTTGATGTCATGACATTGGGTGGCAGACCAGTCCTCCATGTTGTTGATCAAGCCACTGCCTATCAGGCAGGGAGATTCCTATCAACATGACGGCCAAGGAAACGTGGCTCGCGTTGAAACAATGTTGGATGGATACATACCTTGGACCACCCGATGTGATCACTCATGACGCAGGCACGAATTTCGCTGCTGCCGAGTTCCAAGCAGAAGCGAAATTGATGGGAATAACGTGTCATCAGGTGCCTGTGGAAGCACATTGGGCTGTTGGGAAGGTTGAGAAGTATCATGTGCCCGTCCGAAGAGCATATGATATATTAAAGGCAGAGCTGAAGGATACCGTGAGCCCTGATCAAGTCCTTCAAATGGCTTTCAAGGCTGTCAACGACACAGCCGGTCCGGATGGCCTCGTTCCAACCCTCCTCGTCTTCGGTGCTCTGCCTCGAATGACGATGGATTCGCCGCCTACACCTTCCGCAATGGCAAGAGCTAAGGCGGTGTGGCGAACGATGTCAGAGCTGAGGAAGATCAACGCCCAGAGGAAGGTTCAGACCGCGTTAAATACGCGTAATGGGCCTGATACAGCGTTGCGCCTGCCCCTGGCGCTGGAAGCGAAGTTCGCGTATTTCGCGAGAAGCACGGATGGCAAGGCCCATATAAAGTGCTCGAGGTGACGGATACGGAAATCGCAGTTGACCTGGACAACGGACCAGCGAAATTTCGCAGTACATGCGTCCAACCGTACTATCGTCACCCGGAATCGCTCCTTCCTCAGTTGCAACCCGACCTAGCCCTAGCCGCACAGACCCATCAACACAACAATCACTCCTTCCTCAACACAATCCGATCAACAACATCCTCTTCAAACCCTCTTCCCTTCCACCCACAACTCAACAACCTCTTCCTCTTCCTACCAGAAGACCAACCCAAACCTTTCGAATACCCTGAGCCAAAGAGGCCGCGCAGGCGTGGCCGACCTAGGAAGGATGCTGCACAAAATGGCACATCAGAATCCACTATTGTTTGCTCACCCGTTCAATTTATCGTTCATCATGAAGCTAATGCGTTTCTTGTTCGAAAAGAAATGGAACATCTCGGCCAGCCAGCGGCTACGAGCTGAAGGAAGATCACAAGCACCGGTTTCCCATTTGAAGCTTCCGACACACTCGAGCTCACGAACCTCCTCGCCGCTGGGGTCATTGTACCCGAAGAATTCGATGCGAATAAACATGGTGGATATCGTGTCTTCAAATCACGAATGGTCAGAGAGGTTAAGGAAGAAATACTGCAACGCCATACGAGAAATCACGCCTCGTTGTGCAAGGATACAATGATGATGGGAAACGTGGGATCCTCACACAAGCCCTACCATCAGCCGGCCCGCACAACGCGTGGCCTTGGCCTTAGCACCGTTTCTCTGCACACGGGATATGTTCATCATGATCAGAGACATCACGATGGCATACACACAATCCCAGACCAAGCTGGCCCGTGTCATCCTTGCAGCCCTTCCTCAAGAACTCAAAGAAGATATCCAGAGGAACAATCCTGCGAATCGTGAAGCCGCTATATGGCATCGCAGAGGCAGGAGCCCACTGGTTCAACACATATCACGACCATCACTGCCGCAAGCAATATGGAAACCTCTTCGTTTGACCCGTGCCTTCTGATCACGGCAAACAACATCGCCGACAAGGACCTGTTTGGCATCGCGGCCTTGCAAACGGATGACACATTCATTGTTGGCACAGATGCATTTCTCAAGATCGAGGAGAAAGAACTCTGCTTTAAGGCCAAGCCAAAGAGATTCTCCAAGAAGGTTCCATCTGCGACTTTAACGGCAGCCGCCTGACCATACAAAATGGCTGTGTCATCGTCAGGCAGAAGGGCCAAGCCCAAAACCTCGAGGAGATCAATCTTCAG